TCTATCGAAAAATTTCCGCCCCAGTTGATCATGCAATTCTTCAAAACGACCTAAACAAAATTAGCGAGTGGCAAATGAGAATGAACTCCAGTAAATGTCGCGTATTAACAGTCACAAATAAGAAAAACATATCACATTTCCAATATTCAATTTTGAACCAGGATATTGAAAATGTACCACTATATAAGTACTTAGGTGTCCATTTCACTAACAATTTGTCTTGGAAAACACATATAGAAAGCGCAGTCGCCAATGCATCAAGGCAACTGGGTTTCTTGAAATGCCACATTCATTTCGCCCCACAATCGACAAAACTTCTTGCTTACGAAACTATTATCCTTCCGAAGCTAGAATATGCTAGTGTAATATGGAATCCTCACCAAAACTACTTAACGCTACAATTAGAAGGTCTACAGAATAAAGCTGCGCGCTTTATCAGTCATGAGTATGCGCCCCTAACAAGTGCCACTGGTCTAAAAAGAAATTTGGGTTCATACCCGTTAGAAACGCGTCGAAAAATTGCTCGTTTATGTTTTTTTCATCAAATATATTACGACGAAACACTATTTAGCAAATTCTTATGTTCACCTGCACAGTTCACGTCTGCTAGGCTTGATCACTCGTGCAAAGTGGAACCCATTAAGTCACGCACCAACTTGTTCATGTTTTCTCCGCTCTCATTATCTATAAAAGACTGGAATTGTCTTCCTAGCGACGTTGTAATTTTATCTGACCCGAATCGATTTAAGCAGAGGTGTGAAAAACTGTTTTGTTAATTTGTTGCTCCCTGATGTCCTTTTGTATTCATAATAATCGCCTTCTATCCCATTGTTATTTTTGTTTTATTTTAGAGTACGGAATTCGCTTATGTTCAACTGTTGGTTTACATTCTGTGTGTATGGCGTTTGCTGTGTTTTCTATGTGAAAACTAGTCCAAGATAATTCTTTATTCATGTAATGTGTAAATCGCGACTTTTCCCCATTTTTTGCTATCCCCCCTCATGTAATGCATCGCCAGATGCCTTTGAGGACAATAAATGAAATGAATTTAAATGAAACGCCACCATTTCTCCCGCAGCGGCAACTGATGGAACTGCACGGCTGCACATACTCGTTCAGATCGAGTCGCTCAAGGGCCGGTGGCGCCATCTCGCAGTAGTCGAGAGTATCGCATTCGATAGCGTCTCCTGTTTCTCTTCAATTTTGGCTTTGATTGGCCATTTTGGCGCCGGAACGTATACAGTGGAAAGGGTTTAAAGGCTGCGAAGCCCCGTCTCCCAAACGTACTCGCCGCAATTAATCACAGAAGTTAGGACGCACTCAGGTCGGGACGCGCTACCAGAGGCCAGTGGTGAGACATGACTGTATAGAACCATTATTAATTGTGCCGCAAAACCCTCTTAACTACAATTTTATGCAAACATCACGCTCCTGTCATTTTGTACTAATCTCCAATCAAATATTTTACAAAAATAGCTTCTTCCGTTTGTTCTTACGCAAAAACATGCTTTCTAAAAACTCATGGTGACCACAGTAAAGAAAAAAAATATTAAGCCGCCATTTTAGAACCTCGAGCCTGGGAGTGTTGGTACTCTGGAAACATTTAGTGACTCTAGCAGTAGCCATAGAAAGAAGCAACTTTCATGTTTCAACTCGCCGCTAAAGGGTGGCGTTGTTATTGTATTTAGCTCGGTCTTGGTGGATGCCAGCCGTCCAGGTTTCAGGCGTCAGTTTCCCAAATGAGTCTTTTAGTAACTATTGCTTCCGAACTATACGCACCTGATGTCGGGAAAATGGAGTCGATAGACTTCCGAGGATATTCGGTCGAGCAGCCAAGCCAATCCACTAGTTAGGGGCAGGGTCACTGATCTGTGGGCGCAGATTAGGACGGGCCATGGCATCCATTTAAATTGCGTCTAACGACGTAGATATTCCCCGATTTATTTATTTTCTGTGCGAAAATTATTAAACAATACGTGTCCCAGTTATGGACAATAGATATGAGGGCTGAAGCATATTTTATTACACTGCAACATATCCTTTCAAGATATAAAGTATACTTTTGAGATGTTTATATTGTACTTTAAGTTTTAGAGGTGTCCAGCGCGTGTATATAAAGTTCGCACTACTCCATTTTCAGTCCGCCCGCTGAGGTGCGCGCAGTCAAAGTGCAGCATGTAAACTAAAGCCGGGGGTCATGCAGATTCGAATGCGAGTCACCGCGAGATCCGTGATTCGAATGCCGCATGGCGATGAGTTCAAGAAGGAAACTTGCCACGCGGCATCCGAACTACGGTTATTGCGGTGATTCGTGTTTTCAGACTGTCTTTTATTCGCCCTTTTTTGTTTGGCAACTAACTCAGTGGGCACGTTCAGTAGCGCCTCCCTTGCCTCCGAACGGAGTGCCTCGAGTCGGAGTCATCGGAGCGCCTACTGAACGGCAAAAAAACCCGCGGCTCCAAACCTGCTTCTCCGCAATTTCCGCTTCCTCCCCTGTCCCAGACGGTCTCCGAATAAACTGGAAGCAGACGATGGCGAGCACGATCGCTTTTATTTGACGCCGGTTTTGAAGAAGTCATTACAAGGTCGTTGAAGAAAAAGCGGGTGATTGTACACATCAGCGCTGCTGTTCGAAACGATGCAACGCGATCGAGCCCTTCACTTGACGGTGCAAAGGCAGCTACTGTTATAAAAGCCGACAAAAATCGTCGTCAGCACACACAAAATACAGAGCTCAGCGAATCTACCCCGCCGGTTGCGATACTTTTATACGGCCATAAGTTTGTTCTGCCCTTCGTAACGAACTTCCTATAAAATCTATTCGTATACACACGGGAAGTTCGGCCGCGCTCGGCGATCAAGGTTTTGTGGGCCGAAGCAAACCTCAGCCAACGTGCATCCCGATTAGCTACGCAAACAAAACATTAATCGGTATCATACTCTGCGTGAGTGTCCAACCGGCTTCCAAAGTCGCGTTCATACCCTGTTTTGCTCTGTTGAGCGCGGACAGGACTAGCGTCAATATTACCGAGTTTCCGTGCAACGGTGATCAAGACACGGCATTAAATGAACGTTTGCGTTGTTTATTAGCATATTCAAACCAAACAAAATGCGGTCCAATGCATTTTCCGAAAGAGCATTACCTGAAAAAGATATTCGAACGCGTTATTCGTCTTACCTTGAGCACTTTTCATTAACAAAAGCGAGCAAACCGCGCACCCGCGACAGAACCGAAGCAGCTTATCCCGCCACATTGTTTGTTTTTTCCTCTTTTAGCGCCGGAAATTGTCACCAGTCAGGATATTACGTCATTTTAGCTCCTTTGACTCTACGTGCACCGTCTCCGGACTCGGTGCTTCTGAGCTTGACTTCGAAACCCCGGAGTTACGTGCACCGGAAGTGACTTTTGGTCGTCCAGTGGAAGGAGTCAGTGACTCCTTGACTCCGGGGCCGCTACTGAACGCGCCCAGTGGCTCCACCTACTGGCTAGCCCCGCACCTTTCCGGTTCACGTATATTTTCTAATTTGTTACTCATCATTAGTTTATAATAAGAGCGAATTACGTCTTACAGTGCCATAAAAGTGGCCATTTCTAGAAGATATCGTGTATATTCGACTTCGCAAATACTGCGAAACCCGCCGTCTACTTCAAAACCGGAAGTCGTTGGGGGCTGTTTGCGCACTGGCGCCACCACGTTTCAACTCACGCGAAAAAGAACGAATAAGCGTAATCCACTTATGACTGTAATAAGAAAACCGGAAAATGCAACCGTTATAAACGATTATCATTGTATTTGGACTAGAAACGGATCGTTTCTAGTCTAGAAACAGTGTAAACTGATCGTTATAAGCGGTATATCGTTATATATGGGTTCGTTATAAGTGGATTGCACTGTATGAAGTATGAGCAGTTTGACCCCAGATTAACGCTTTTAAGGGGTTTTAGACGGCCCGCAAAAAATCGGATTCCTTACGTATCGCACTGCAATTTACTAGAGAGGTAGAAGCGGGTAATGGAAGTTTACACTGAAAAACCAAATGAAGGAATAAACTTAGCTTATTCAATAAAACAAACAAACAAACTGCCTGTTTCGGGCAATTTTCGCCGCCACTTCGCCGACGATGCACGCGTAGGGATAAGTGCGGACGACACATGGCGTACACCACATCGAGAGAACGCAGGCCGATTCGTGTTCTTTTGCGGGATCGTCTGCTATCATACCCCAAATTGTCTGGCCGTCCCTCGACAGAGCCCACGCCATCTGTCGGCAGCACTTATCCCTACGCGTGCATCATCTGCGAAGTGGAGGCGTAAATAGCCCAGAACAGGCTTTTCTTGCTTTTTTTCTTCTTTTGAACAAGGTTAGTTGATATTTTCACACTGACCTTCCACCCACCCGCTTGCCCCTTTGTGGTAAATCGCAACGCGATACGTGGAGAAAGCGATATTTGCGCGCCTTCCAAATTTCCTTGAATACGTTTGTTTAAATGCTGTATATTAATATGGTATTGAAAATCCTTAAATATACTTTTTATATACTTTTCGAAGTATGCGCAAACATATATATTTATTTATTTATGAAAGGAAAAAAATGGTATACTTTTAGTGTAAGAGCAAGACCCTTGCCGAGGTTCTTGCTCTTACACTAAAAGTACACCTTGTCCGAAACAAGCTGTCACGCAGCAGGGGAAACAGCCAATGTGACGAGCTTGGGCTCGTGACTTTGGCTAATACCACGTTTTGCTGGAAGCAAAACGTGGTATTAGGTGAGCAAGTGTTTCAAAATGCGTTTTTGGCATTTGTAAAGACAAGGAAAGGCAGGAAAATGAACGGCTATAGCATGAAAAAACTCTATAAGTGAGCTCGAGGTAACAAAACAGCCGAGCGCATACTGTCGTTGGTCGAGGTCGGGATTGCACAAAAGCACGTGGGCCCATTGGCGGGGGTAAACGAACGCGTAAGGTGCGCTAGGAACAGACAATCTTGCACGCTTCATAAAGAAATTAAACCGTTCTTCTTTAAAGCCAGTAATGGTTTTGGGGCTCCGCTTTACGGCAAGATGGCGACAACCCTGGCGGGAGAACCACTGGCGCCGTCTATCTTGAGGACGCTGACAATGGCGTGCGCTCCGACGGGCGGCACTTTGTCCAAGTTACGCAGGTTCTCGATGACGTAAACGTTTCGAGCGAACAGCAGTCGGTGCGGAAGGTTGGGTTCCGTTGTGTCCACGGAAGCGGTGTCGATACCGACACCGTAGACTCGTCGCTCTTCCGCGACGAAGCGGGCCGCGTCGGGATGCACGGCCGGAAAGTGGCGAACTCCGTCGGCGTCCGTTCCCAAGTAGGCGTTCGAATTTGACCAAAACTGTGAAAAAGAATTGCGAGGAATGTGTTTTAAATTCACGGTCGCACTCCTATCACGCCATACCCACTGTTAGTCTTCGTCGTCCTTTAAGGGGAGACGAGGGTCTTTGACATTTTTTTTTTTCATTTATCGTGCTGAAATTTAGTATACTGATGTATTTCTTAGTGGTGATTTGAAATACGAAACTAGTTTTCAGATAGCTTAACTAGATCCCGAATTATCAATAAATATGAAATTTTTATTTGGTCCTCCTTACGGGTCGGGTCGTTAGCGTAAAATGCTTCGAAATGTATCAGAAATGTTTATATGAGACTATTTTAAGCTTTATTTAATGATATTACATTGGTAAAAAAAGAAAATTTGCAACGTTGCACAAAACGGAATATCTTTAATTTAAAATTATTGTGCGACATATAAAGCAGCAAATATACCATTATAGCATCACCGCACAAAGCATGTCTTGGTGATTGCAGTTCTATAAAAAATGTATGATATATTTTGAAGAATTGTACGGTCACGACCCGTATGGGGAACCTAATTAAAACGGCATATGTATTGATAACTGGGGATCTAATAAAGCTATTTGAGAACTAGTTGCGTATTTGAAAATCGCCACGGAATAATACATCAGTATACTAAATTTCAACACGATAAATGAAAACAAAATAAAAAAATAAAAAAAAGTCAAAGACCCTCGTCACTCTCTTAACTTGTCCGTCGTTCTTTCTAGCGCTTTTATTCCATACAACGGCATACAAAAGGCAGCCTGCTGACACCGACTGAGGCGTATTTCTTCCTTGTATCACTGCCCTGTCAAATTGGTCGTACAAAAACTGTCCTCGAAGATGTTCGAAGCATACAGATGTACGAAGCGAGCATGCTTCGAAAACACTTAAATGAAACGTGCCCACAAATCATTGTGTCATCGTGTAGGCAGAGAAACTCCGTGTCGTTCGCATGATGTGTAATCAGTGAGCCTCGGGCTCAACTGAAATTCGGGACAGAGTTTCTCGTGAACGACCTCCTTGTAGGCACCTTTTTCTTTTTTATAGCGGAGTTGTTAAGGGATAGTTTCCCCATGATCGTGTCCCCCGCTAAGAAATGAAGACACCGAACTCTGCACACCTACCGCCATCTATGAGCGACGGCGGAAAGCCACGTATCTGGTTGCCGCCGTCGCTCATAGATGGCGGCAGCCTTTCCCCTCTGGCTTGCTCACTTGCGGCCGCCCATTACTTTTCATTGTACAGCTCCGCTAATCTTCCTTCTTCACCAAAGTGGAAATGCTGAAAGTTTTTTTTCTTTTCTTTTTACACTCTTATCTTTGTAATGTATACAGTGAATTCGACTGTTACGTGTATAACGCGCGAGCATCGGCAACCCGACGGACGGCCCTCGTCATCTGCTGGTTGCAGTGTAATAAACTCACGCCGCTGTTTTTTATCTTTTGTACGGTCATTGACGAGGGGAGAGCAACGGGGAAAGAGCCTCAGTTGTCTTGCCCTCAGCACGATCATCCTACCTTCGAGAATACTTCGGGGTCTCGTGCGCGTGTAGCTCGCACGGGCAGCCAAAGCACGGCGGAAGGCACGGAGCGGGTGCTGGACGCCGGGCGTTCCAAAAACACGCCCTGTCGTTCTTGCTCTGTCGGTGACTATAGTATAACGCTCGGTGCACGGACGAGATGGCCACTGATTGCTTAGGCCGATAACATAAACAAGCCTTGTCTTTTGACTTTAGTTTTTTGTTGTGTTTGGACTGAGCTTGCGTTTAGAGAAGAAAAAAATGCTCTAATTGCCTTGATAAAAGACACGTCGAATAGAAGCATCCCCTTCAGCAGTAGTTCATACCGTAATGTGAAGAGTAATAAAGGCAGTGACGTTGTAACAACGTAAACAGCTGGGCTAGTTGGTGGAACTTAAACTTGCCGTGGGTGTAACAGCGCGTAACAACGAAGACAACGGAAAGGAACACACATTACAGGACACGTCCTGCGGTTTGTGTTCCTTGCCTTCGTCTTTGCTGTTAAGCGATCTTATACCTACACAATACCTAATGCTGTTGTAATCAAACGTTACAAAGGTTTTAAAAAATTAGAGCAAAGCCGACAGAAAAAAAAATAAAATAAACGAGGAAATCATGCAACCTGTATCGGAGAATGGCGAAAGTCGCGCGAGGAGCCGCTTTGCAGCATCATCGCTTTCATTGTTCGGCGGCAGTGATATCAGTTTCGGCGACCGCTGGCGTATTATATTTAACAGTTGAGTGCGCTGTACGGTAAATAGTAAAAATATCTACGTTATGTTACACAGTTCAGGTTGAACTCTTTAGATTGGGCGGCGACATGCGCCGCCTAGCAGTCCTTCCCTTTTAACGTTTTGAACACCGGAGACGGTCTAATTCTCCACATCTATAGAGAGTTTTAGGGAACCGTTTTCGCCCATCCGATACGGTAAGGTGGGCCCTCCTGTAGACGAACTGCGCATATGGGAGTCTTCTGTGGCAGCGCATGCGCAGTTCGTATCGGAGGGCCCAATGTACCATATCCGGGATGTGCGAAAACGGTTCCCTAAAACTCTCTTATAGCTAAACGGGACGATAGAATTCCCGTGAGACAACTGAGGGTGTATCACGCCGGAAACGTTTTTCTCGATCGCTGGACGCGAGCAGTGCCAATCACCGACGAACGGTCGAACGGTATTCTTCGCTTTATAAAAACGTCCGAAATAAATTGATGACTCAAAGTGACCGCCTTCAAAGCTGGCGACTTGTTAATCATTAATACGAGGTCACACTTCTCATAAATCTTACAAAAGACAGTCTGCGAACAGATTCGAACGCGAATCACCACGAGATCCGTACTTCGAATGCCGCATTGTAGTGAGTTCAACGATAACCTTGACACGCGGCATTCGAACCGCGTATATTGCGGCAGTGTAACCCCGGCTTTAAGCAGAGGTCTTACTGCTTATGCATAATACAAAAGGCAGTCTGACAGATATGAGTCACCGCGATATCCGTGGTTAGAATTCCGCGTGTGAAGTTTCTCCTTGAACTTGTTGCCATGTGGCATTTGAACCACACATAATCGTGGTGTCTTGAGTTAGAACAGACTTGTGCCGGTTACTTCAAAAATTTAATGAATTACAATTACAAATTACCGAGCTTCAAATGTATTGAATTACCGTTACAAATTACTTTCGCTGAATGATGTTTTCAAAGACGTTCTACAACACTACTTTCCATTTCTTATGCGCACGTGTTATGGTAGTTCTTGTAAAAATATAATATCGTACTCAAGAGAAAGAATGTAGATGCTCTCCGTTCACATTTAAGCTGTCAAGGCAGCGAAAGTTGCAACCAGACCCGTCATTCCGCTAGCGTACGGCGACCGGAAATGATTCCTGGAATTCTGCAGACAAAGCTAGCGGTGCACATGCTCAGTAGCAGTGTCTACCTGCGCTAGGAGATCAAGAAGACAACGCCTACTCAGTGCTGTATTCTTGGTATTTGTTTCTTTTCTAACATTTACATGTGTCTAGCACATTTTTCTAGTGGTTCTCTAGAACCACAAGAAAAATCTGCAAGGCATATATTACCGAAAAAAATACGATTCTTTATTTATTTTTTAAACCGGTCATACAAAAAAAAATCGCGATTTCTCTTTGGTTATTACTTTGTAGCACCTACTATCTTTATGCTGCTGAATTGCCTGCTCGAATTGCTCCAGTTTATGTATTATGTTCATTTTTTTTAAAGGTGACGAGTAATTAAAGTAATCCGTTACTAATATCTGTAACGAAATCACATTACAAATTACTGGCACATAAAAAGTAACGTGGCAATCACAAAATTACTTGAAAAAGTAACGGATTCCTTCTCAAGTCTTCCGGTTGGAATCTGTTTGCAGACTGTTTTTTCTGTATGATGTGTATGCAGTGTGACCCCGACTTTACTCACACTGACCGTACATGAGAAAAAAGACACCGTGTTCGGAGCAGACATGAGGACAAAACTATCTGCGGACTGGCCTCCAGCATGTGTCAGTCATGTTTGCTTCATACATGCCTGCAGGCTGTTCTTTTAGAGCATGAAATGCTTGTTAACGGAACACCCCCCCCCCTAATGCGTGAACTTCCCCGCTAAATTTAGCAGGGAAACTGAATTGGTGTTTTGGTAACGTGCCATCAATTGACATCACGTGACCCGATGTCACGTGACCTGCGCCCCAACTTTGCTTCCCTGGCTAAATTTAGCTGGAAATTGACGTAACGTAACCTGACAGCACGTGTCCTAAACACCAGTTCACGCGAGAAATTCGATGTTACGTGACCTGACATCACGAGACCCCTAATGGCAATTTAGTTTCCCCGCTAAATTTAGCGGAAAAATGTACGTCACGTGCCCCGATGTCACGCGACCTATAAGGCAATTCAGTTTCCCCGCTTTTGTTTGGAGGCGGAAATCGATGTCACGTCAAGTAAACACTCTCCCGCTACCTTTAGCGGAGATATTGGCGTCACGTGACCTTATTACACGTGACACATGTATCGATACGATTTCCCCATTTAATCTAGCGGAGACATTAACGTCACGTGATTTAAACCCAGATCTAATTGACGCCATGTGACGCATGCACCAAGTTTCCCCGATCAATGTAGAGGGAAAATTGATTTAAAATCAAGGTTCTTCACTCATCGAAACCACGGTTTAGTGGCATCACTTTTAAGCGATCGCGCTTTAAGTACTACATTTTATGGATTACAGGTTTATGAAGCTAAAGGTAGCTGCCAATTTCAGCATAGTCAGAGCTGTCCGTAGACTCTCTTTTGAGTGAGGTTAGGCTATCTTGCCTTCGACCATCCGGTGTTGACGAAGAGGAGACAGCCCTCAGGCAGGCGTCCGTGCTGGCGTTCCCAGGCCCGGAGGTCGCCGACGGAAAGCTCGTAGCTGGCGTTCCGCGCCGTCTTGTCTCGAACGTCCACCGTCGCAACGGGAACACCGAGCATCCGCTCCAGCGGAATCTCGGCCACCGAAATGCCGCCTCGGTAGAAGTGGACGGGAGAGTCTAGGTGCGTTCCGCCGTGAGTCGGTTCCCTGATGACGTCCTCCTGAAACCTGTCGTGTCGATCAACGCGTTGGGTAAAGCCGCAGTCGAACTGCTCATGCAACGATACATGAAGGCACGGTGCTTCCGCCAGCAAACACAATGACATAATTATCTGCGGAGACGCGGCTCCAGCATTTCCGAGGCTTCTTTGATACGTACGTTTTGTAAGCTTGGAACATTTCTTCATACTGTCTTTTGCACGCGGTATTAGCGGCAGGAGCGCAACTTCGGGGATTTCTGTTCCCGTGCTCCGCTAATGCGAAATGGACTTGTCCCTTTAATGGACACAAACAGCGCTATGAACGAGCACTAAGTATAGAAGTGGACGAGACGGGCACTGACTAACAACTGAAGTTTTAATACGCAAAAATATTTTTTTTGTGTTAAAACATTAGTTGTTAGTATTTAATTAATAATGCAAAGGTGCAAGCGAGCTGGACAAGAATGACGAAAGTAATCCCTGGAGAAGGAAAACAAGAGGGACAAAGGACAAACATAAATCTCCAAACACAGCTAGGTGACTGGTGTGCGGCCGAAAAAATCCGCCTGGTCCGGGTATCGAACCTGGGACCTCTACATTACAGGTGGAGCGCTCTACCAACTGAGCTAACCACGGGTTAGACGCCAGTAGAGCAAACGGGCTTTTTCAGCTGTCACCAGTCGAACACCAACAAGGGTGAAGCTTGGAAATTTAAGGTTATAATTATAATGCAATTAAATGCAAAGGTGCAAGCGAGCTGGACAAGAATGACGAAAGTAATCCCTGGAGAAGGGGAACAAGAAGGACAAAGGACAAACATAAATCTCTAAACACAGCTAGGTGACTGGTGAGCGACCGAAAAAATCCGCCTGGTCCGGATTTATGTTTGTCCTTTGTCCCTCTTGTTCCTCTTCTCCAGGGATTACTTTCGACATAGTTGTTAGTCAGCGCCCGTCCTGTCCTAACCAATTATCCCCCCAGTTCATGTTGTTCCCTTTACTTTATTTATTTTCTTCTAAAAGAACCTTGTTCGTCGTACGCGGTGCGGTACCTAAAACGTAAGTTGATGCTGATACAGCCTTGGACAATATAGAAATGGCCTCTGCGGAGCACGATTGCTACGATTTTTCTGCCGGACTTTAATATTGATGAAGCTCGTGCATTTTGTGCTTGCCTCGTCTGCAATTAATTGATTTTAGCCTCGCTTCACACTTCGCCGAGCGCACCAAATCAGGTCAAAGATGAACTACAAATTATAAAATAAAAGTGAACGCTGAAAAAAAAAAGTCAGAGTAATAGATAATATAACGCAGATCAAAAAAAAAAAAACCTCTGATACGTTTTGTTTTTTATGTTTCGCGAGTTTGTTTTTGTCGTACGTCGAGCGCCTTCCGCTGAACTCGTTTTTCTTATTTTTAGGAACCCTTGTTCTCCCTTTTTTTTTTTGTAATTTGTCCTTCCTACTTTGTCCTTCGGTTTGCCCGAGACAGGAATCAAAATTATAGGGAAAACGAAAAAAAAAAAAAAAAGATTCTCCGACTGTTCCTGCGATCCTCCGGGTGCGTTTGGCACCCGGAGGATCGCAGGCAATTTGGGTGCCTTCGAATATCCTTCCTTTTCTTTTGCCTTGCGGCTTCCGGGCAATGAATTCGGAGCGCCATTTTCTTTCACCGTGTTTTCGAAACTACCTTACCATTCTTTGTTTTCTAACACCGCTTTTTATTTATCAAGTTATTCGAAGAGCCATGTCCTTGCTTGTGTTTGTTTTTTGCGCTTCTAGCTTGCTTCTTAAAAGCAAAGGTTCCAATCTTTTTTTTTTTTCTTCTTTTTTGTTTACTGAAGACTTTTTCTGATTAAAAGAAAGTTGTACGAAAACTATGATGATTTTGGAAGGACGCTTTCACTTGAGCGGCGACATTGATGTCTCTGAAATATACATGCTTTTCCAGGTAACTTGCACCAAACTTCAAATGAAAACGAGGGGGTGAAACGAACGGCAAGTATTTAGCAAGGATGTTACGAAAGTACTAACATTCTTCTTAGTGTGCATATAGTTATTTAATAATGTAGAATAATTAGCTATCGCTTTAACAACGAGAATAAAAGAAAATAAGCACGGAATAATCACGAAGAGGAAAGGAGGAAACTGGGGATTTGATGCGTGCGCCCCACGTATTCCTTAATTAGCACCGCCCAGCATAATTATCGGTAATGACAACGCGCAGATGGAATCGAGGAATTCGGGAAAAAAAAACAAAAAACCTCCAACTTCGATGACTCGGGAATCTGCCCGATACGGCGGCAGCGTCCGAAGGATAATAACAACAATGCGCTTCGTCCTTTTTTTTATGTGTTTTATATTGGAATTGTGCTCGTTCTCGGAACGTGCGTATGTGTGCGGATGATCCTGCTAATTGGACAGCGAATGGACCGATCTCGCAGCCAGTTTCACTACGCCGCCGCTTCAGCCATGCCTCGTTAGATCCGTAGAGTCTTTCTGTGCGCGGGCGCGACAACACCGCTGAACGCCTGCATGCGCGAACGGAGCACGACGCAGCACGAGTTGTCTCGTGCGCATGCGTGGAACGCTCTAATAAGATCGGTCTATTCGGAAAATCCGAGAACCCAAATTGCGACGCTGCACGTGTGTGTGTTGAGCTGTACGTGCTTGTGCGCGTACAGCTGGACAACAGTCCCCGCAGAGAGGCAGTCGCGTTCGTGTTTGCTTCATCGCGTGTCATGCACCGATAAACTTAGGGAGAAGGGAACACGGGAGCGAGCGGGAACGTCGGAACGTCGACCTCTGGTTGGAACGATTAGAGGGTAGAGCTAAAGCTATATAGCTGCCTATGTCTCCACTACACTCGTCGAATGCGTTCGAATGCAAGAACCAAACGCTGGACACCACCGCTCCGCGTTCTTCTAACGCGTTCCACGAGCGCAGTGGAGCCCAAGGCAGCTATAGCTTTAGGTCTACCCACTAACCATTCCAACCAGATCTCGGCGTTTTGACGTTCTCTCGTCTCCCTCGGTTTCTCGGCACATGCATAGTGTCGCGCACCTTGTCATACGCTGCAAGAAGCGCTGGCCGCGCTGCGTGAATCCACTATAGTGGTGACGTTTCGGGGCAGAAAGAAAGGCGCAAACCTTGTCTCCTATAGGAAGTATGGAGCGAGCCCGCCGCTCACAACTGCACACGATCGTAAAGGCGGCGCTTTCCGTATTTGTAGTGTAAAGAAAAACAACTGAACACATTGCGTTTGAAAAAAAAAGAAAAAAAAAAACGAGTGCGAAAGACCTTGAAACAAAAAAATAAAGAAAAAAGAGAAAGATTCGACGCGAACATTGAAAAGGAGCATGCGAACAATTCCCGCTGAGCTCGATCATCTCGGCCACGGTGCGACGCGGCGGTTGTTCCCATTGATAGGAATTTAATGGATGCGCGCGTTAAAGCAGCGATCTCTCGTCGGATCCGCGCATTCGTCGACACCTGCTGCCCCATCGCGAACACTCGTGCTCTTTGAAGGCTACGCTTCGTTTGCGTCGGGGGCAACGCATAAGGTGCCTAGATTCCAGAGTAGATTCCAACTGCTCGATCGGGGTCGCGTGCATCTTGCATGGGGCCGCGTTTCGCAATGCGAGCTGCGATGAGGTAACGAAAGAAAATCGTCGATCGTTTGCAAGCGTCTCTCGCTATCCGCCGGCTTTGTTTCTCGCCACGCGATAACGCTGCGCATGCCCACGTGCGACTAATTGGCGCTGGAGGGGCGACCGCCATTGAAGTGCGAACGCTCTCTCCGTGGTTTGAACCGCTCCCTCTCTTAAACCTAGGTTCCCTATAGCAACGCATTGCGCAAAGAGCGCCCCCTCTGCGTGCGCGCGCGCCGCACATACAGCAATTGCCTGCATCGGCTCGATCGCGTTCTAAAACGATCGCTGTTTATTTATAGCGTCCTCGATTGCGGCGAGGAAGAAAGGGTACATTCGAGGGAAGGAAAAAAAAAAAAAAAGCGTTCCTTCTTTCGGCGGCCTTGTTTTCTCGAAAATGAGCGTTTGCTGCGATGCGGTCAAGCTTTTCCAATGAGTTTGGGGGAAGCGAGCAATGTTTCCCGTCCGTGTTAAAAACGTGCGAGATGTGTTTTCTCTTTTTTTTTCGTGGTCGTGTCTTGGAATACTTCCAAGAAACATTTTTTGGTTAGGCAAACTCGTCAGTTTAACCTAGCTCAGTTCAACTGCTCAAATTGAATTATGCGCGATATTATTTGTCGCGTCGATTTTCTTTCGGCGAAGCGCCGGATCGCGATTTTATAGCCGGTGACAGCCTAAGAAATCGCCCGGCGTGACGCGTCACGTGCACTTCATTGTCGTTTTGCAGAGAAGGAGATGCCAGCATTAAGCCGATAAATGAAAGCCGAAGAACGAATCAGAAAGCGAGAATCGTGAACACACAAGGCCACGCCTTTCTTTTCTTCAGGAATCAGTGACTATAAAGTGCACTCTGATAAGTTAACTGCTTTTACTTATCCGCAAATTTCTCGAGAGAGAGAGAGAGAGAGAGAAAGCCAGTCGCCGAAATCTTCCGAACGAGCTCGGCGAGCGACGAAGCTGAAACATAACCGAACTTAAAACATCCGCCGACACGGTTCGGGGCAGAACCGACTAAGTATGTTGTTGTCTAATTAAGCGATTAGCTGCTGACATAACTGACAAAGCCGCGCCGGGTCGTGTGTCCATTTCCCCGCTAAATTTAGCGGATAAGCTAAATTTGTGTTTAGGTAACGTGTCATCGAGCCACGCGACGTCGTTTTCCCCACTAAATTTTAGCGGGGAAACTCGATGGTTTTCGTGTAACGCGACGTACACTTTTCACGCTAAATATAGCGGGAAAATTGTATTTTGGCGTGGGTCACGTTACATGAAGTCACGTGACGTCATATTCACCCGCTACATTGAGCGGGGGAACTGGATTGGTGTTGAGGTCAGGTGACGTCAAGTTTCCCGCTAGATCTAGCGGCACAACTGAATTTATCCATAGGTCACGTGACATGAGATTATATATGATATCATTTTCCCGCTAAAATTAGCGGGGAAACTTAAATGGGAGGGTACGTTTTAGGGCGAGTTGGTTCATCAGTGTTGGACCTATAAAATAGCGTAAAAAAGACAAGAACAAGGAGTATACAGGACTGTATACTTCTTGTCCTTGTCTTTTTTGCGCTATTTTATATGTTTAACCGAAATTGAATGGGTTTTATGGAACCTTGACGTCCATTTCCCCGCTAAATCTAGCGGGAGAACTGAATTTGCGTATAGGTCACATGCCGTCGAGCCATGTGATGTTATTTTCACATTACGGCGAAAGTAAACAGCCAGAAACATACCTCAAAGGTGCGTAAAAATGAAAAAAAAAAAAAAAAAAAACACTCGTCGCTTAGAAATGAAAAAAATAAAAGAAAAGAAACACTGCGCTGAGGCACTGAGCATGGCGTTTCAGCAAGTTCAATGCCACAACTCTGACTTTTTTTGAAGTCTAAAGATGTTTTGAGCCCCTTTATTCGCCGAGCTGCTTCGATAGATTTCAGCGATTGGCTCCAACGAGGGATTTGCGCGGGTTAAGTCAACGCTCGGCCACAGCCACGCTGCTCGTTCATCGCCCACAAGAAGCGCGGCGTTCGCTGCAAACACAACGCCGGAGTCATATTTGGACACGCCTCGACGCATTTATGTTGGCGCTCATGCAGATGTATTCTTCGAACATGTCGGCTGACAATTTCTCTATGGCTAATGTGACAAGAACTCTCGTACCGGGAAGAAACACGCCTCGCTCCGTGTCTGCAGCCTGTTTTCTGTATGTTGAATGAGCAGTGAGGCTGCGATTTTGAACCGCATCTTTTAACAACACAAAAGCTGTCGCTTTCGAGCACGGTAACACGACAGCAGCTCACCGGACAAAAGCTCGCCGTACAAAATCTCACCGGACAGAAGCGCGCCTATTTTTTTTTTTTTTTTGGCGGACTTGGACAAATGTTTTGCTCATTTTTGGCGGACCCGGAAAGAATCTCACTTACCTTTTCTTTCTTTGCTAAGCCGTTCGGAAGTTTACTTGGGGTAAAATGAGCTCGGCTAACCGTGGGCTACATGTGACCACGTCAAGAACCCCCTGAAAAGTATATCCATAGCCTCCGTATAGAGGAGATTATGGTATATCTTTTGAACTCCGCTAACTAAAAAAAAGACAGGGCAAAACTTTTACAGGTTGTTCAGGGATTTTGTTTTACGAGTGGAGCACTCAGAATGACCGTGCTCCACTCGACGACCACTGGAATTTCCTTCGGACTTCTTGGAATGTTCACAAGACCATGGGAAGGGGCAAGGACGGGACCAATAACTCGTGTGAAGGGTAGAACAAAGGCTTTCACAAGCTTCTAAGGTCAGGACCATCCAAGTGTCTGGAGGCTGATCGAATGTTTTTAGCGGGATATAGCGTTGGTCAGCATAGCTTTGTTGCAAGCACGCCAAGGTAAACTCCCAATGAAGAGGGCTCGGTACCCAACAAACAGTCTTCAGAACAGCCTGAGGAAGCTTTCTGTTGGCTATCAGCTTCACAGAGACATGCCGAAACTGCTGGAGACAGTGGGAGACTTGATTAGACTTTAACACTTTAAGCAATGAACATTATTTTCTTAAATAAGAACATAGCTTGCGCGAGTCATACATACTTTTTCATAAAATGCTCTGCTTAATTTGTAATGTTATCCGAGCTTTTGTAGAAAAGTAAACAAGTTTATCCGGGCGAGCTTTTGTCCGGGTTCACGGGTAAGAGTGGTCAGTTTTTTTCCGAGTCTATGAAAAATCTGGTGAGCTTATGTCCGGTGAGCTTTTGACCGGTGAGCTTCTGTCAGGGATTTCTCCAGCGTCGCGTACTGTGTGTGGTCGTTTGCAATTTCGGTGTATCGCGGTTCAGTGACTCTTCCCGTCTTCTTACCATCCTTCTTGGGTGTCGTTGAAAAGGGTGACGTTCAGGGAAAACCGCCCATCTTCCGACCAGTAGATGGTGCTGTTGTTGAAGTGGTGACTCAGGTCCACCATCCTGCTTGGACGCCACAGCGGTGATCTCGAATTTCCAAGGAGTTCCAGGTTTGGCCGTGAGACCGCCACAAGGATGGCGTGGAAGAGCACCGATATTCGCAGAAAGCAGCGGGAATCCATCTTGAGGTAAACAAGAATAAAGAGAAATTGTAAGCATGCTGCTTTGATGTGAACTCTATTGTCTTGAGCTCGTAGGTACGCCGGAAAGAATGACGCGTTTAGCTAGATTGTCTAGTACTCATTTTTGTGCTTTCACGCTGATAAGTACTCGCGTTCGCTCGATACTTTAATTAGCCTTCGTTGTATGGAAGCTGATATTTATTTCTTCAAGTGAACACGTTCGGCGTACGAAAACGAGTTGTACGCATCATCTCAAACAAAAACTTTAATTGATCATAAGGCCGGGATACATTTTATGTTAGTCAAAATAAAATTTTGCAAGTAGTACGAGAAAAGTTATCGGTATAATTAGCTCGTCTAAGCTAATTAATAGTTATTAATACACAATCATGCACTTCATGTTTATGTCTACTTTCGCGCTCTAGTTGCGGCAAAGTATTAACATATTAATGTATTTCATCTAGACTTTGTCCCACATACAACATGTTTTGTATACTCAGTATATATATTTAAAAAAAAGATATACGCAGTTTTCGAACATTGATATATATTGCACAACGCTGTTTTCATTTTCCAAATCTAGAATAATATGAATATTCGTGTGGTATCATGATTGCAGCTCTTCTGCGTAAAAAATTGTGTTTCATAAAAAAGGCCTTGAGCTGGTTAGGAAGCACTCATAAAAAACACGATTTAACTAACCGATCAAATATTAAACAGCTTAAAAAAAGCCTTCCCTGTTATTGGACAGGAGATCGAATTATAGGGGGCTTTTTATGGAGCCTGTTGTCCCCTCAGCCAACACCACCTAGGCAGGCAGAAGGCCTCCGCACCGCACATCACACTCAGATCACTCGAGGCCTGTTATTGGGCACGAGTGTTGCGTCAGTGTTCGGACGAGGCTCGTGTCCAATCAGGGCGTCGAAGGTCGGAATTGGGCCCAATAGCCGAGTTAGCGTGATGCGACTGTGATGACGTTTCATAAAGGGAGAGGAGGCTATGCGGAGGCTTTGATTATCCTAGGAGGTGTTGTCACAGCCCGGTGTTTACCAGCACAGCTTAACAAGGAAATTGAGCTTGGCCCAGCTCGGCTTGGGCACAAGCGCTTCGCTCTGACATGTGCTTTGGCTGCACGAGGGACAGCTCTCCAAATCGTCATCTTAGATTTCTCTGATCAACAACAAACAAGAAAATTAATTTTTTTGCCGACACAGCTGAAGCGTACCGCTAGAGGCGTGACTGTTCCATCTCCTCCCCAATATATATATAAATATATATATATATATATATATATATATATATTATTTTTTATAATCTAATATCAACACTAACCATACAAATGGTAGTAATATAGCACTATAGTCTGTTTCATACGTAGTGTGCAACGCTGTCAAAGATACTGGCGAAAGCGCGTGGCTTCATCTATGGTTTTGTTTGCGCGAGAACGCTTGCAAATGATCAACGAGATCAAGTCCCATGCTAGCGCTAGTATCTTTGACAGCATTGCACGCTTATTATGAAACAGAGTATACTATTATAATTTTGACGATGATGATGTTTATGATGATGATATCACAAATAATTTCATATGTATACACGAACTCGGCACTGCTACGTCACGGCGCGGTTGTGACTTATCGGGCGCACTTCCGGTCTGGAGCTGTGGGCGGAAGCACACAAGAAATCACCGTGCGGCACGTGCATTCCTGTGTTCTTTTGAAAGAAATCATACAAAAACTCGCCTTCTCGTCAAAACGCCGTGACTGGGACTGTGCCAAAGGCTCGGGAAAGGTTTGAAGGCCAGTTTGCATGTTTTTTCTGCCTGCTCGGTTTGTCCGAGAACGTAGATTGGGGCCGTGAAAAAGGAAAACCAGACGCCGTCCAACCACGATTGCCTCCGCGGGAAGCACTTTGGGTTGAATTCACAGATACTTATGGTCGTCAGAATTATTTGTTTTGTTTCAGCATGAACGCGGAAAAACCGCCAAGTTGTACGAACAACCTACTGACTACGTTTGGTGCGTCAACAAGTTAAAACGGTCGCCTTATCATTCGACCTGTCGTCTGCCTTCTCAAACGTTTCTGCCTGTTGTCGTCTACTTGTTCAAATGACGGCGGCCCGTAGACCAGACGTTGGCCCGGTAATTGCGATAAAGAATAAGTGCAGGCCTCAAAAGACTTTCAAGTTTGAAGGTTCGTGGGGGGAAGTATAGGCTCGGGTGTAAACAGTAGGTACAAGGAGGTGTTCATAAGTGTTACCAGTGATCATCACCGACTTGGTTTGCCTCATTCACTTGGTCCGAATCTGCTTGCCATTTGCAGTATCACGTCAACAGCTCAGCAATGTTCACGCTTTTGCAACCCGAGCGACGTCATGACTGAAAATAGCAAGGAGAACCTCATCGTGCGAATTAGGCTTTAGCGTCTATTCTGCGGAATGAATCGCCGCATGTCCCATTATTCACGCGAAGTTTTGCGGTGTAACGTGCCTCGTGAATTTTCGTGAGGCAGCTAAAATAGCCAGGCATTCCAGGAACACGTAGAATCAGCGATTCCAAGGCGAAAAAGAGCACGGGGACTCACACCGACGTCGACAACATCGCATTTAATGGGTTTGTTTGTGAGCGACGGCGAGCTTCTTGCCCGCACTCCATCGCGCTTGCCCGGCGCCGGTAACGTCTGCTAGGGCCGCTCCGGTTTGTTTGTAAACATGAGTTGGTCTATACGTGAACTTCGTTAAGAAATTTGTCTCTGTCAGAATTATAATCTAGTATTCGGGAACCTTTTGAAGAAAGACACCTGAGCATATGATTATATGTTTAAACGACAAAAGAGATTTAGAGGCTGCGATTTCCTCGCTAGCAATTTTGTGTCGTAAAAAAAATCGAAAATTATTATTAATTTTATTTTGTCTCCGAAATATGGCCAGACTGTAAACAATTGATCGGTCACCACACGAAAATAAGTGCCATCAATAAGAGCATCCGAAAAGGAAAGCCAGGAAGCTTGCTAATTATAACAACAAAAAATCGATTTTATATAGTTTTTAACTTCATACATAGGTACTTCATGCATAGGTATATATATATATATATATATATATATATATATATATATATATATATATATATATATATTCAAAAAATATTTGCCCTTATGGAGTTGGTCGGAGAGGTCGCCAAAAAAGGTGAGCTTCAGAAAAGTTTCAAGCCTGGTAGGCTCTTCGTCAGTCTAAACAAGATCACTTCGAAAAGGAAAGGAAAGAAAAGGAAAAGGAGAGCGAAGTGATCTTGTTTATACCGACGAAGAGCCTACCAGGCTTGAAACGTTTCTGAAGCTCACCCTTCTTGGCGACCTCTCCGACCAACTTCATAAGGGTAAATATTTTTTTAACATATTTCTCTCGAGTGCCTTCTTTTTATCTTAGGTGCGGTTCCGATATATATATATATATACAGGGTGTCACAAAAGAAAATTTACACGGTCTTTTTTACCGCAAAAATAAACTAGGCATCGCAGAAAGCTCACTCTCCGCCCAAAGGTAGCGCAGGAGGTCACAACCAGATGCCAAAGTTTCAGCCCGATCCGATAACTTAATCAAAAGTTATAAGTGATTTTCTGAAGATTCTAATGGGAAAATGGAGCCCCTTTTTGCCCGTTTTCGGTTTCTGGCGCCATAGAGCCCCATGTGTTTGAAAACTCCGTCGGCCGCCATTTTCCCATTGAAATTTTCAGAAAATCACTTATAACTTTTGATTAAGTTATCAGATTAGGCTGAAACTCTGGCATCTGGTTGTGACCTCCTGCGCTACCTTTGGGCGGAGAATGAGCGTTCTGCGATGCCTAGTTTATTTTTGAGGTAAAAAAGACCGTGTAAATTTTGTTTTGTGACACAATGTATAATAATAATAATAATAATAATAAGAAATTTTATTCACATCATAAACATAATACATATGCAGGCCCGCAAAAGCACTGGTGTGCTTGTCTGCGGGACCTGGCGTCCAGCGGGCTGCTACACTGAAATCCTCCTATTGTGTGCATTACTGGCACACATAAAATAAATACATAAATAAATGAATAAAAATCAGACAAGAAGAAAAGAGACAAAACTCAGTGGACTGCTAAAGCAATAAAGCCAAATTACATTTCAAAATTCAAACACCACTCTTTTAGATCATATTTGACTTGTTTCAGCGACTTCATGTTATAATAGGTGTCTGGAAGCCTATTAAAATAAAATGGGACGTAATATGCCCGTGTTTTTTTTCCATAGTTTGTATAAATCTTAGGAATAACAAAACGTTCTTTGCGCCTAAGTGTTCGTTCTTTTTCTAATACGATTTTAAAGTTGCTTTTATAATAGTGCTTTACTAAAATAACATAACAATGTAGTTTCTCTATGGATAACAAATTTAAGACATTCATTTTCCTATTAATTTCCAACTCAGAGTAGGGTGTTCCATAGGTAATATTAATTGCAATTTTATGTAGTATTTTGTCAAGTTTTTCTTTTTTATAATTAGAACACACTCCATATAAAGAAATCCCATATCGGAGAATAGACTCACCCAGTGCACCATACACCCTCCTTCGTAATGACAATGTCGCTACACTACGCATCTTATACAAATAAACCGAGACAACACGCATTCTTTTGATGAGATATTCTACATGCTCATTCCATAGGAGATGTTGGTCGAGATGTAATCCTAAATATTTAGTTGTTGTAACATAATCTAATGCTACACAACTGCACCGTGTGCAGTTTTGTGAATGAAGAAATAACGGAGTGCTAAGATGTAAATGTTTATACGGACTACGAAAACATATTAGTTTTGTCTTACTGGGATTAACAAAAATATGATTAACAGAAAACCAGCCCATTATTATTTCAATATCTTTCTGAAAAATGGACAATGCACTTTGTTCATCACTGTGCCCTAATATCAAGGCGGTATCGTCTGCATACTGATACAGACGGGATGTACACGGTAGAGTTCTAATTTGGTTAACATAAACATTAAATAAAAGGGGTCCCAGTACCGACCCCTGAGGTACTCCCGAGTTAAGTGATGTTAATCTACTTTTAAACTTGTCAATTTTGACCAACTGATATCTGTCTGTAATATAGTCTCTCAAGAACGCATTAAAAGGACCTCTAAAACCCATATCCCTTAGTTTTATTAATAGTCGCTCATGATCAATAGTTTCGAAAGCTTTAGTTAAATCTAAAAATAGGGCTAAAACAAATTGATTCCTATCGAGACTGTAGTTTACATAATCTAAAAGATCTTCCAGCAAAAGTTCAGTGCTTCTATTTTTACGGAATCCATACTGAGACTCGTTTATTAAACAGAACTTCTCGCAATACGATGTCATTGTGTTAGACAAATTTTTCCATAATTTGCGCTATGATTGGCAATATTGAAATGGGTCTATAATTCATAATTTCGTTTTTACTGCCATTTTTATATAATGGTCTAACAACAGCTGTTTTTAATTCAATAGGAACTTTCCCTGACGAGAGTGATTCGTTTACTATTTTTATTATAACGTCTTTTAATACCTCAAAATTATTCTGAATGTCCCTTAATCGAATGGAGTCATTCCCCGTAGGTTTGGACGCTTTCATGTTGTTTATTATGCATCTAAAGTCTACCTCTGTCATCTGAGGCAAATAAGCTGAGTGCACACTATTCTCGTAGCTATTTGATTCTTCTTCTTGATTTTGTAGTAATTTTCTCAGATCCACAATCCTTTTAACAAAAGAATCGTTAAATTGGTTACATAAAGAACTGATATTATTACTGCCAAACGCTTTTTTAATTGTTTCATCTATATTTTGTTTCCCTTTACTTCCCGTAATTTCCTTTATCCAATCCCAAGTTTTCTTCGGATTTCCCTCGCATTGTTGAAATTTAGATGTGTAATGATATTTTTTTGCCAGTCTTATTTTGGCAGTTACCTTATTACGTAGTTTTTTAAACTCTCCTTTAATTATATGATCATGTGGTCTTGCTTTACAAATGTTCCACAACCTATCTTTTTCACGGCATAGTGCCAATATTTCGTCGTTTATCCAGGCATTTTGTGGATTTCTTTGTCTTATTTTTACAGTTTTCCAACGCTTTTCCTATATCGACCTCAAATTATTCGCAAGCATCTGGTAAGCAGTAATGTGATCAAAATCAAGGAGGGAGGCCCAGTTATATTCTCGTATCATTTTGTCAATCTTATTATTATCAAGAATGCGCCTGTATACTACACGATCGGTTTCCTCAGTACTCACCCCTATTATCGCCAGAGATATAAAATAATGATCAGCAACTTTTTGTCTAATTACACCAGAAAGCATTTTAAGATCACCCCCTCTAACAATAATATGGTCAATACACGACTTTGTTATGCGGGATCCCAAGTATTCTTCCCTAGTATAATCTGTAATTATATTTTCTAATCCAAAACCTGCTAGTAAATTCAGATAATCAGATACACCGTACTTAGCAGCATTCATTACATCTATGTTCAGATCGCCAGCAACAACCAAGTATTTGTTGTTATTGAATTGTTTAAAGATTTCAGCTAATTCATCGAGAAAGAAAGGTATGTGTGCACTGGGCGGTCTATATACTGCACAGATTACAAAAGATAACTCCCGATTTGACACACGAAGTACCAAAACCTCCGCGTGGTTACAAGAAACTGCCAGTTGATCGGACATCCAGGAACCTTTTATAAAGACTAATATACCACCACCTCTTCTTCCTTCCCTGCACTCCGAAAACAATTGAAACCCGGTCAAATTGAAAGAACTTACCATTGTTGAGTCAATATTTACTTTTGTTAAAATTAATATATCCAAGCCTGCTAGTCTATTTTGCAAATATACATTTAATTGGTCCCAGTGCTTTTGTATGCTTCTAACATTTATGTGCAACAGGTTAAGTTCCATCCTTCCACCGTCTATATCTGCCAACCTGCTCTGGGTACTAAGGTCCCAGTCATAAAATGATGAATATGAATTCGCCATTTTTAACGTAATTTAGACAAGTCATGTTCATTTTCTACACGAATCACAGCCGAGCCTTCTTTTTCCCGGACAAAAACTTTTCCATTACTAACCCATACAAACTTGTACTCCTTCTCTTTTGCATACTGCCTAGTTTTCCACAAAAGTTGTCTTAGATACTTCGTTAGATTTTCATTAATGAACACCTGTTCATTTTTAAGCACTCTTCTTTTAGAGAGCCAGAGGTCCCTAACCGCCTTGTCTTTGAAACGAACAATGATGGGTGCTATTTTACCCTCTTTTTGGCCCAATCTGTGGACCGCTTCCATGCTTTCAGGTGCCGGACACGGCAGCTGCAGCTTACCAGATAAGTGCTGGATAACTTCCACAAGATTTTCGTTGTCTTTTTTGGTGATACCATGAATTTCCACATTATTCCTTCTGGAGTATTGTTCAACAGCATCTATGGCGGTCTTGAGCTCTTCGATCTCCGTGTCTTTTTTTGTTACTTGTCTTTCAAGTTCTGCGGATTTTTTCTTTAGCTCTTTTAACTCTCTTTCCTGCAAGGTAACCTTCTCCAGAAGGTCATGATAGTCCTTTCCCATTATTTCTAAAGAATGTTCTATTCCTTGCACTGTTTTTTCTTGGTTAGTTAACTTCACCATTATTGCGTCATGTTTTCCTGCCTGTTCCTCCATTGACTTCTCGAAATTATTCATTCGATCTAGCACTTGTGTCAGCTTAGTACTCATGTCCAGAATATGCTTCATCAAAAGTGCTACATTTGGTTCTTCCGAGCTTTCGCTTGTGCTACGTTGACCAATATCCTGAGAGTACGTCGCCGAAAGTGCTGCCTGCTGACATTTGCGGGAATTGCAAGTTACGCATAGCCAGATGTTCCGTTCTTCGCTAGACCATGTTTTAAGTACAGTCTTTGTAACCCCCGCGCATTTCCCCACATGGTAACTCTTTCCGCACTCAGCACACTTCAAACTCTGGCTATCGTCTGGAATCGACTTCAAACAGGTAACGCAATAAACAGTCGACATTTCGGGTAATGAGGCAGTCCAGCGAGGCGTGAAACGAATGAAAACAAAAAAAAAAATCAAGCAAATTCTTACCTAGAAAATGCAGAAGAATCGCCGTTAGACGTGTCGTTAGCACCCCGCTGGACTGCGCCACACCGTCGTCTGCCGCTGGCTTTTGAAGACCAGTCCGAAAAACACAGCAACAAGAGAACCGTCACATGCTCCAATCAGCCACCTAGCAGCTTATCGACGGCGGATTGTCCGATAGAGCGATAATAGCTTCACCGTGCGATGAGCCGACTTTCGTAGCCCCTTGAAGGTCGATAACTTATATCGATGAGGAGCGCAAAAAGCGGTTGTCGCCTTGCCTCGGTCGTTTTCGTCACCGATGATGAGCAACTTATAAAGCTCTCGATGCCACGGAATGCTTGTAGCCTCAAAGCTTTCGATGCCACGCAATGCCTGCGTCGTCCCGTTGTATTCCTGCAGCGTTCATCCCGGGTGCTAGAAAATGCAGAAGAATCGCCGTTAGACGTGTCGTTAGCACCCCGCTGGACTGTATATATATATATATATATATATATATATATATATATATATATATATATATATATATATATATATATATATATATATATATATATATATATATATATATTGTGACGTGCATACTTCACGATGTCCCCTTCATCGTCTTTCAGCATGTTGGCCGAGGAAGACGAGGCCCGCGTGCGCTTGAACTGAATGCGCGGGCAGAGGCGCGCTGAATGCTTAAACAGTGCGGACATAAAAACGGTCGTCGACTCTTGCTCTTCGTCACATATTGGTGGAGGTGCGGTTTTAGCCCATACCCGTCCCATCTTGCGAGCGCTGGTCCTCAATCCTGGAGTTGAGGAACCGCAGACTGCCAACCACTATGACATCAGAGACAACATTCAGCGGCACCAGCCAGAATCACCACTCCATCGCCACAGAAGCACCAAGGCAAGGCAATAACCAACCGCCGATTGCCACAGGCACTCCAAGTCAGGTCAGTCCTGCCGGCTGCTATATTACGTCCCGCCAGAGAGATCCTAAATTCTTCACCGGCCTCGGCGAAGACGAAGTAGACGAGTGGCTTGATTTATACAACCGCATAGGACTACACAACCGCTGGGACGACGCAACAAAGCTTAGCAATATTATATTTTATTTTACCGATGTCGCGAGAACGTGGTTTTTTGAAATCACGAAGCTGAGTTTTCGACCTGGGAACGATTTACCAGCCGAGTAAAAGAAGTATTTGGCCACCCTGAAAACCGACGAGCCACCGCGGAGAGACGCCTCAACGCCCTTCTCATGCAACTGACATGCCGTGCCGAGGAGTGCCGCCAACTGGCCCAACTTCGAACTGCTCAGCAGCAGCATACGGCAAAAACTCGCTATGATTTACGGCATACAGCCGCTACTTACGCACCAGGAGACCTCGTCATGGTGTGGACACCCATCAAACGACAAGGCTTAGCAGACAAGTTCCTACGCAAGTATGTCGGGCCATATCGCGTCATCAAACAAACGACACCAGTCACATGCCATGTCGAACCGCTCTCACCACCAGCCGATGCCCGCTTCCGAAACGACGACATTATTCATGTAAATCGGCTAAAGAAATACGCTCAGCCCCAGCCAACCCCTCCCAAACACTAATCTCCGAGATGCTCCTCACCATACAACTGCATAACACCCATACCGCCTTCCTGTGCATAAAGGCGCTCGCTGCGTCCTACTTCACCCAGACACCGCCCCCAACCACCTCTCCCTTCCCCGGGGGGGGGGGGGGGGGGGGGGGGTAATTGTGACGTGCATCCTTCACGATGTCCCCTTCATCGTCTTTCAGCATGTTGGCCGAGGAAGACGAGGCCCGCGTGCGCTTGAACTGAATGCGCGGGCAGAGGCGCGCTGAATGCTTAAACAGTGCGGACATAAAAACGGTCGTCGACTCTTGCTCTTCGTCACAATATATATATATATATATATATATATATATATATATATATATATATATATATATATATATATATATATATATATATATATATATATATATATATATATATATATATATATATATATATATATATATATATATATATATACGCCTCAGTCAGTGTCCTCCGTCTGTCTTCTGAACGTGGCTCTAAGGGACCATTTTCTGGGGTTCCTTCAGAGGGTCAACGAGTCCTTTGACTCGGGAGGCGTAAATTGTTTCGGGGAATCAAACTGTCCGAGAAGAGGGGCAACAGACACGTCGATGCTTCCCGCGTCGAGAGATCGCGCGACAATGGTAGCTCGATCTGTACCCGACTTGCCATTCAGGTTGACGGCGTCGGACCGTTTGGCTCTCTGCGTCGCGTGACAGACTACCGAGTGCCGGAACGGTATACTGATGACGACATAACGGTCCGCGACGCCGTATTGTGCCACGCGAGAGGCTGGTTCGTGCGGGCCGTAATAGTCTCATTAGCGATTCAGAACGGCCCATAGATTCTCCAACTTGGCGGAAAACGGAAAGAGGGAACGAGGGAGTAAGAGAGGGGGAGAGAGAGAGAGAGAGAGAGAGAGACCGGTACTTGACTTGCATACCGCATTCATCGCATTCCGCTCGAAGTCTGGATTTCAGCTAAAACTCGCTCCCATATTTTCGCTTTCTGTTTTTCTTTTGTTTTTCTGTGTCGCGAAAATATGATTTAGATGTCTGCGTTTCGTTACACGCGACCGACGATGAGAAGGGGTTATTGTCTCGATAACTGATTACAGAAAATTATGAAGTAGTTGTTTTGATGTTTCGCTTTTTATGCACAGGCGTTTATGGAGAACTTCTATGAAGCACCGCTTAAAGATTTCGAGTTCTTTGCCAAAAAGGAAAAACAATTGTTACGAACAAACGCAACGTTTCTTTGTTGTTTGTTGTTAGAACGCGTTTCGAATAGTGCGTAGAAACACAGGCAGCTATCATGTGCGTCTACTTCCTAACACCCCTTTCACACGGCAGCGTAGAGGCCGGTTCACACATGTAGCGGAGCGCTACAAGCGTAGCGCTGACCTCGCGCTAAGCGCGTGCTGACGGGAGCGTTCACCAGCTTTGTATCGCACCGTCAATACTGTTTGTTGTTCATGGCAGACAATAAGTAGCGGACAACACGTGAGAAGCGCTACATTAGCGCTTCGCTGCATGTGTGAACCGGCCTTAAAGGTACCTTTAGCTTAGGAACCTGCAGTAAACAACGTTCTTGATCACACTATAAATAAACGGAGCACTTTAAGTTCATGTCGATTGCATTCCTGCTAAACCGCGAGAGGAGCACGTGATAAACAATTACATTTGAAAACCGAGCGTGTTCGTTGATACATACAAATCTTGAAAGAATAAAACAGAGAGGACAAGGACGGGAACAGATGTCCTGTTCCCGTCCTCGTCCTCTCTGTTTTATTCTTTCAAGATTTGTATGAACAATTATTCCTCGAAATTGGTTTGACGCGCAGTTTTTCATTATTGTGTGCGAAATATCAAATTTAAAACCTGAAAATTATTTGTGTTTGCTTTTGCGGCACTATATGTTTTTTTCTCGAAGTCTAAAGGCGCACTTAGATGAGTCTTTTTTTTTTTTTTTTAAACGTCCGACCCGTCTGGCCACACTGGCCCTAAGTCATTTGCGTTTACGAGTTTCCATTACGAGGTGACCGACCCTTCATCTGTTTGCAGAGAAAGGTCGCCCACTGAAGTAGCTCACTGAAGTAGCGAAATAGTGTCCGACAGAAACGAACCACGTCGGAGTCTCGCGGTTATGCCAGTCACGCCGGCGAAAGAGATGGACGACGACGAGGATGAAGGGTCCTGGGTGCGAGAGTCGAACGACTCGTCTACAACCTCGAAAAAGAGCTCGCAGTGGTCCATTGCATAGAGTTATTATAATGTACGCTAGAGGTTCAACTGGCGCTAGTGTCTACGCGACTTCCGGGAGGCAAATTGAAGCAGACAGCAACCAGTCTAAATTTGCGGTGCTCCTGTGCATTCCTATGGGAAATCGCGCTTGCATTTTGTCTCTTCGCCGGAAAACAACATGAATAACTTTTGTCATTTCGGTTGTACCGGATAGTATCCTCTACTAATATTAGGAAAGCTTAATTGCTTTAGTTACAGCATTTTGCTTTACCACTGAACGATGTTAAACGTCGCTGTATTTCAGGCCCAAATCTCTGTACCATGGCAGGTATGTAAAAATGAGCGACGATTCTAAGCAAAATAACGATCGAAAGGAATGTACAGTGTGTTCAAGGTTAGCTAGCATTCCGGCGGCGCTTATATATTGCTAATATATAAGCCTGTCATTAATATGAAATTGACCCCGTCGTGCTCATCTTTACGATCGGTTAAAAAAACATTCGGACGTAAAAAATAAAGTACGTGGGCTACAAAAGGTGTGTCTTCTTATTATTTCCTATGTCGGACAGTTTTTATCGGGTACCTGTTCTCTGGCTTCTCCCTATCTTCAAAGATTTAGAGCGTGCGAGTGATGATTTGAACCTAGAACAAGCATCTTCCCACATATTCACGAGCAGAAAGAATAAAACAGTACTCATTTATTGGAAATCGGACAATATTACGTGGCTTTCAATTTATTTTTATCATCTGCATGCACAAGGAGTTACTTATCCAGCGTTGTTCTTCCAGTCTCTCTTAGTCTTCCACATGTCCTTCGTTCGTTTGGCACGTATATCCCCCACGCTAGAAAGCGCCGACGCCGTGTTCGCGCTAACAGTGTCCGACAGTGCACATGAATACATGTACGAAGCAGTTTTAGCACCGTTTTTCATGCCACGAATTTAAAATAAAAACGCAGCAAATGACCAATTATTTCGTCTGCATGACTGAGAAATGTTCCAATGTGCCTAGTATGTAAACATTATTCGTGATATTTGCTATTATAATCGAGCGCAGAGAGAAAATGCACTCGCTTTTTCCCATAGAAATGCATTACGGGAAGTCAATTTCAGACTGGTTGCTGTCTGCTTCAATTTGCAGCACAACACTAGCGCCAGTTGAACCTCTAGCGTACATTATAATAACTGTATGGTCCATCGCGTTCGGGTTCGTAGCAGACATTGTTTTCCACGTGCCGCCGCTGCTACCTGCTAGCTGGAGAATGCGTTCCACGTTAATGTATTATTTCATCACATCTGTGTTCACAATCATTTCATAGTTTGCCACTTATATATATTCAATTTTTTTTATCATGCATTAAACAATATATATTTATATATCTGTGATATTTATGTTTAGTTCGTGGGTACGAGGCTACTTCCTGTAGCTGTAAAGAGAGCTTGGCGAGCTCCGTTTGACACAAGACCTC